CGGGCCTGCTTAGTGTGTGCAACACCGAGGGTCGCGTCAGGGAGGTGTGTGACCAGATACAATTCTTCTTGGAAAGAGGCAAGGCGTCGTCGGCCGAGCTTGCAACCTTGAGGGGCCGTCTCCTGTTCGCTGACAGCCACATTTTCGGGAGGAGATCTAAACAGTCCATGAAAGTCCTCTCGCTTGCGTGTGCCAAGACGGGGTCGATTTCCTTCAACCAAGACCTGGTCTCGGCCCTCACCTGCCTTAGGGATAGGGTTCTTAGGGGTGCCCCTAGGTTAGTCCATGGAACCCACCGTAACAAGTACCTTCTTTTTGCGGACGCCTGCCACGAAGAGGGAGGGGCCGGCCTGTTCGTTTGGTCGTTTGGTCAGCAGGATGCTGGGCGAAATTTATGAGTGGGAAGGATCGAACGATTGCAACCTGTGGTTTGAGCGTGTGGCAAGTCTGGCCAATCCTTCGGATAACCCTTCCCGGAAAATTTACGAAGGCCTTCCAGAGGCGTGTAGACTGCATGTCGATGTTAGCTCGACTTGGAAGCGCCTGCTCCAAAACCGTTGCTAGGAGTATGTGCGTTTTGGTCAAGCGCCACCCAATGGTTGCCTTATGCAATGTGCTACGTGTGTGTGTGAGCTGCATGCCCAAGCCATGTATGCTCGTATGTGCTTGACGGATTCTTTCGTGGATGCCCCATGCCAAAACAAGTGTGCGCATTCGCCGACTTTGCAACTTTATATTATATTCTTTGTATGGGAGATATCCCTGCAAATATTTGAGTGACTGCTCAAATTTGAGATATGCCCTTTTTGGATATTGTGATGTGCGTATGCGAGTTTAAAAGAATAAGTCCACCCTCACCCCAATCAGCAGTGCACTGCACCGTACATGGTTAGCGACCCACGGGCTTTTGGGAATAGCAGGAAATACAAACATATGACGTCATCTAGGGCCACAACCACACGTCAGAGCTAATCTGAGAGAACTTCGTTCTCAAACTTTAAGAACCCCACGAGAATATCATCACAAACACTTCACATCGTGCCATGAACCTCACATCCCATCGGATCCCTCATGACAACTGTGCAAAAACGTCATGACATCACGCCATCTCATCATTCAAACATCATGCCATCTGAGTCAAGCCATTTTATACAGACAACCACGTCCGCATGAAAACCCTTTCGCCACGCTTTCAAGAAAAAATTGGCCACTTGCATTGCAGCCTTTGCATGCCGTTTTATAGTGCATGTGACTCGATGATTCATGACATATTTCCGATGTGCAAAATTCATATTCGGTAATGAAAACCATGTCCAATGCGCCGGTGTTTTCCTGTTTCCAAAACTTTTTCAAACTCACACATTTCGTGTTTTTTGCAACGAGACGAATGAACGATATTCAATTTCCGACACATGACTTTGATATCAACCGTTACTAACCGATTCTGGAACATCCCATTTATCAGTGTAATTTTTGAAAGATGGCTGGTGTGTTCAAACATGGGGTTTTTCCGTGTTTAACAAGACAATTTTTTTTGGCAAACCGCGTTCACAGTTGGTTCTAGACGGCTGAACCAGGGCTATTTGCCAAAGGCACGGTCTCCATGCAATGCTGCCAATCTCATTGCCGTTGTCCGTGTGCTTGTCCACATTTGCGCATGTCGGAGGTGTAAAGCGATCATGGCGCCTGTGATGTTGTCCCTTATTGTGGCAACCGCGTCAGCTGCTGAAAAGCTTCCTGTTTGGCAGACCGGTTGTGTATGGTACGCACGTGCCGTATTTGTGAAGACAAGGCACAAAGGCGGCATCGGCAAGGATGGAAATCTGCCGTGGAAGCTGCCAGAGGCGCCGTGCTGCAAATTTGTCATCACATGTGTGGAAGACAAAAAACGACACTGACCTGTTTCCGCATCACTAGAAGATGGGCAGTTTATGTGCAAAAAACTTTGATTTTCAGTGCGATTCTGGTACTGGTGGACATTGCGTGCATCTGTTTGTCATTGGTTCATGCAAAGTAGGGTGCCGATGTCACATCATCCGACGCAAGAAAATTCGTTATGTGCATTCAGGACATGGCTCACTTCAAGCGTGTTTAGCGCTTGGGGACAATTGCTTGGCAAGCAATGTTAGCCGTGTAACAAAGTTGCTTTCTTTCAATCAGTGAGGTGACGACGGCGATGTCGGAGGATGGCAAGCAAAATGCTGTCATCATGGGACGTCCGCTGCTTGGCAACGCCTTTGTCGGAGGTTCAAGCCTTGTCTGCATGTCAACAAGCCCACAGCTCCATAGGCAAGACGTGGGAGTCCATTCCTGAGCGCTTCCGGCCCCTGGCTGGGCGCCTGAACGTTGCAGGGTGCTCAGCTGCAACACAAATGTGAAATTGATGAACTTGGACCGCTTGATTTGAAGTTTGAGCTGGGGAGCTTTCCTGGAGTATTTCAGGTCTTGACATCGACGACAGAGTCAACGAAGTATCCAGAAGCCTGCCGTTTGAAACGTCGCTAGTTTCCATGCGTGTTGTTCAGGGAATATTGTCATTCTCAAACAGTGCGTAATCTGTTGTTGAGCAGGGCGTTCTGGTCGCCGGGTCGATCAATGCCGCAGTGGAGATGCTTCAAGGTGTCACCCTTGCAGTGCTAGCAGAGTGTTTCATCCGCTGTTCTTGTTCGATGCATTGTTGCACGCCAGGTCGAAGTGATGTGGGTGAGGTGTTTGTCATTGGCGGGCAAGCTGCCTATGAAGAGGCGCAGCTGCAGCTGTCCTGCTCTGGGTTTGGCGCCTGAGATTGCACCAGGCGATGGGGATGTCGTGCTGCATCCGCCTCTACGTGACCAGGGTGGCAAAGGCGTAGAGGACTCCATGGCTTCATGGCAGCCAGTTTGCTTTTGCGAGGATTTCGATTGCGATGCGTTCTTTCCAACCCTGGATGACAAGCAGTTTCAGCATCCTGGGTGCAATGACTGGTTTTTGATTGGGAGAACTGGTACAAACCATTGTACAGTGGTATGGTCAGATCCTTTGGTGTTTTTTTGCCGGCAGTACTGTGGTGGGTTGTGAAGGAGGACACGGCTAGATCATGCTGTGGTAGTACTTCTAATAAGCCGGAAAGTGTGGGTCTGCAGTGACCAGCTTTCACGGGCCCCAGGTGGCCATGTGAGCAACATAAGGCAAAAGTACGTAGGGCCTTGAATGGATAAAACAGGTACCTGACGGGCATACCAGGACCAAAAACAACAGGCGCACATTGGCATCCGAACTTCCTTCCAGCCTCAGATCCGAAGCAGCTGTTTTGTTGACAGCAGAGCCACGTCATCCTGCCATCCAAGGATTGTGCATGTCAGCGCAACCCACAGCACCTCAGATGTCCCCTTTGATTTCGTCATCTACGAAAGGTTGCCCGTGAAGGACAGTTGAAGCGGTGACTTGATTGCGAAAATCATGCTCTTTGGGGTATGGAAGCTGTCAGGAAGATGTGCACATAAAGGACAAAATCCAGTTCATTCCATAATCCCAAATACCATCAGAACAAGTTCCAACTGGCGCACTCACACCCCCCAACTACTTCTTGACCGAAGCATAAATACAGCATCAAACCGGCAAGCCCTGAAAGCCTTTACGACTCTAAAGCCTGAAGCGGCAAGCAAATTCCAAGCCCTCAAAGCTGCAAAGTCTTTTGACCCTCAGTCCAACATCCCGAACGCTCGAAATCAACGTTGCAAAGATCCACACCTTCAAAATCCTTCGCACCTAATCCAACACCTTAAGCCCAACACGTCCAAGAACTTTAGACTCACGCCGCAGATCCAACATCCGGGAACCCTGATCTTTGAAATCCTTAGGCGCAGCACCCCAGATCCGTGACATGCTAGGGTCTGCAAAGCGAAGTGATTCGAAACACTTGAGACCCTAGTTGAAGTTCTTGTGCCCTAGCAGCCCCTAAACCTGAACATTGGCGCCCCTATAAGAACCAAAGCAGTCCAATTCTCAACGCCCCCGATCCGCCTTCCCACAAAGCCAACACGCCCGAAATCTGCTCATATGTGTGGGAGAGGACCCCAGGGGCGGCACTCATGACATTTCTGCTTTGTGGTGAGGACGTCCGAGGAGCACCTCATCCAGCCCATGGGGTGAAAGTGCCGGCAGTAGTTGCGCGGTCAACTTCTTGGCTGAGTTTGTTAACGCTGCGATGGTATCCCATCAGTGTCGTGGTCAAGTTTTGCATGGTCGAGTTTGCTGACACCGTGCTGGTATCCCCACGTTTTTGCGATGAACCGAGTTTGCTGACACCACCGGTGGTATCCCTTCCGTTTGGCTGTCCTTCTTTTTGGCCAAGTTTGCTGACTCTGCGGTAGTATCCCCGCAGTTTTGCCGTGAACTTTTCCGGCCAAGTTTGCTGATGCCGCAGTGGTATCCCCAAAGTTTTGAGTAGAACTTCTTCATTTCCAAATTTGCGGACTCCGTTGTGGTTTCCCCGCGGTTTGGCATTTCGTCTTCGCTGCCATCTGTAGTATCACCACGGTTTGGCAGTCAACTTCTTTTTGGCCGAGTGCGCTGTGGCCTTGACGGTAGTCGCAGTTGTATCCCCACGGTTTCGCGATCAACATATCCGTGGCTCCACAGGGTGGTGGGTATCCACGCGGTTTTGTTGTCAACTTCTTCGCAGCTGATTGTGCTGACACCGCCGTGGTAACAATTCGATGCACGGTTTCCACAATCCAATTCTTCGTGAGCTCTCGTTTATATGTCCTGACCGTTGTTGCTTGTGCACACACCTCATTGCCTGTGGTTGTTGCTGTTGTCTGGCTGAGTTGCAGTTTGGGACTGACACCTTAAGCCTTCGAGCCGGCGGTGACGTCCGTTGTTTTGTGATTTTAATGTTGAGTAGAATAAGCAAATTCCCAGAAGCAAATGCAGCCGAAAGACCACTTCAGATTCACGAGCCAAGCAGATGAGACATATTGAACATTTTCCTGCCAGATTTCTGTGATTCATTCAATCGGTCTGAGTCTCGGATCCCTGATGGTCTTTTGGCTGGATCTGCCGCTCATTAAGTCATTAAACGTTGTCATCAAACCAGACATCTAGTATTGGATAGATGAAGCTGATAGGAATCTTGCTTGCTTGGTTCCTTTCAGTAGATTTGCAGTTATCCTGCCAGAAATGGTTGGTTTTTCCAAAACATGTGAAACAGATGACTAAATTGACGCATGAACAGGCATAGAGCCAAAAAGCATTCGGCTCCGGGGAATGACACTAAAGTCTCGAACTGGCCTATCGATCTTTGAGGTCTGAGAAATTATTCAGCTAGAGACCACAGGGATAACTGGCTTGTACTGTACAATTCCCGGGTAACCAGCCCTCCAGGCTGCATGGTGTGAAACGGAGGAGTTGAAGCTGCATGGCCCAGAGTAAACGGAATGCCCGTCTGTGCCACCAATTCAATGACACAAGTTCATGTGGTATGCCCATTTGCTAGCAAATTTTGGCAGAGCTTGTTAACTTGCAGGACGGAAGCGCTGCTGGCTACACGGCGTCGGCTGCAATGGTTAGGGCCACTGAATGTGCCAGGTTTGCAGCATGCCATTCATTGGTTGGAGTCAGGTGCAGCAGCCTTCAGCAGCGCTTGCTGCTGCTGGGGGCCAGTGTCTCAACCGTTGCTGCTTGGTGGATGCATGATGCATGGCCTCATGCATGCGACTCGGTAAGGGGCCGGCGTATTTGGCCATGAAGAGTACCAGTATCTCAAGGCTCGATGGACTTTTTCTGCGCATGCTTTCTGAAATCAGCTGAGTCTTTTCTTTCCAACAGGCTATCCGACAGATCATCCAGGAAGGGGTTCACATGGAGGATCGTACTGGCGCGGGTGCCCCGGACAGACCTCGTTCCAGCCGGCTGTAGCTACAGCAAACGTTCTGTTGCATATTCCCGCGGCGAGTCAAGGTTGGAACCCGTTCCATGTTTGGTCAGCAGATGCGTTTCAACTTGAGCCACGCGCCCAGACATGTGCAGCAAGCTTGCGTTTGGTCAAACCTTGACCAGCCAAGCTAGTAAAACTTCATTGGGCAGCTTTGCTGGACCCTGTTGACTTAATCTTAGCTTCCCAAAAGGACGCAGAACAGTACTTGACTCTGCAGATATGTTCTTGGTGTGTGGGTAATGAAAGTAGACAAAAAGAGCATGGTGGGCAGCAGTTGGCAGTTGTGTGGGCGTACAGTGAACAGCAGGATCAGAGGAACCACTGAAGCTTCCAAGATGTGTGAACTGCGGTCATGAAATGCTGCGCCTCCTGACTCTGTTCCACGAATTCATGAAAGATCCCACTGATGAGAAGAGATAGCCATGGGGTATACCGGGCCTGGAAAGCATCTTTGCATCACACACTCCATCTCTGAGCTGCAGCAAGAATTTGTGTCGGAATCATGCTGCTCATGATGCCGGAATCGGAACCATTCGTGGCAACTCGGAATGTTCTGAAAACATGCTTTGTTCCATGACCTGGCATCAAGTGGTTTGCATTGGCAGCTTTGTAGGACGTCTGGCAGGGCAATATACAGGTTTTTCTTGCCTGGATTGTTGTCGATTGCAGTTTTGGGAGGGAGGCTGCTGCAGCAGACCAGCGGGGGGATTCGTATTGCGTGGGTACGAAAAAGTGCTGGAGCTCCAATGAGCTGTGATGAACTAAGTGAAAATGGGGAGGTTGGAAGAGCGGCTGTCGCCTGCTTAGGGACTTTCTTGTGTTGCAGGCGTTCAATTGCTAGGTCAAAGTTGCATGCGGAAATAAGAGGCATAAGGGATGGCAAATGCCGTTCAGAAGCTGGAAGGCACATTTCACTCACCGTGGTTGCTTCCTGAGCAGAGATTAGATCTGAGTGCTGCAGCAGGACATTCCTTCCCACTGCTGACCACCAAGCGCGTCTTTTGGCGAGGTGTGGTTGAGGAGCTGCTGTGGTGTAAGCCTGAGTTTGCCTGTTTGGAAAACAGCATTTTTGCACCGCTCTCCTTCCATCGAACCGTCTTTGGCCCATTGTGATCGCTTGGTTAGCGGACAGCTGGGTATCAATTGACAAACCTTCTGAGCTTTGTCCAGTCCCGATGCACAGCACTCCTACGCTGAAGGTTCATCAAAGGCGACACGAACGCCAACCATCTGACCGAGAAGGGAGTGAGGACAGCCTTGCAGCTTGCAGCTTGCAGATGCAGAGGATCTGGCATTTTCTTGCTCGGAGGATTTGGGAAGCCAATGGCTCCCGGGAGTTTTTGGACAAGCGCGGCCTCGGCCACCGCGAGGAAACCGGAGCTTGAGCTTCAACATGTTTACACGTTCTCTGAGACACCTGTTTCCAGGAGGGAGACTTGGGCCCGGTCTATGGCTTTCAGCACGGGATCCAGGCTTGTACACCTGCACACGCAAGAAGCCATGGTGCACAGAGGTGGCGCCACTTTGGAGCCAAGTACGTGGACATGCATGCCGACTACACTGGGCAGGTTCACTCAGAGCCATGATGACGCAGGGTCCATGCTTTGGTGTGCCAGGGTGTGGACCAACTTGCAGAGTGCATCCGAAAGATCAAGGAAGACCCTTCAGTCTAAGCCCCAGAGCGGATCCTGAGCTTTTCTGCATAGTCTCTGTTTATGTGCAAAGGATCGCCGTATACTTCTCTCTGCCTGGAACCCGGCAGATCTTCACTTGATGGCACTACCTCCATGCCATATGTCTGCCCGGCAGGTTTGTGCCTCCAGCTAGGCTCTAGTCAGCATAGACAGCATAGAGGCATGAACTGGGCGCTGCCAGGTTCTGCCAGTTTTACGTGGCAAATGGCGAGCTGTGATGGGCTTTGTTGACTGGTTGTCTGTGAGCAGGGTAAAATTAGGTCTTGCTGCATGACAGTCTCCAGAGGTCCTGCCTGATGTACCAGCGATCCTGTGACATGGGCTTGGGGGCGCGGAACTTTTAACTTCAAGGTGCAAGCTGTCCAAGGGGAAGCTGAAGCCTCACGAGGTTCCATTTAACATCGCCTCCTACTCGTTGCTGACCTGTATGATTGCGCAGGCTGGGTGTCATAGCGAGAAGCCCGCATCTGCTGCTGAGAATCTGCTTCCATCTGCTTGCGTTTATTGAACAAACGGTGAACTCTGGCTAGGATGTCTCACATTCATCAGGTGGTTGGAAGTGAAGCATCACAGCAGGGAACAGTAGGTTGCCATATTTGCATTCCTCACCGCAGGAGAAATACAAGCTCAAGAGCGATCCAGCTGAAAATGACCCAAACCATGCAACCGGCTCTGGCAACAAGGTTACGGGTTTGTTTGCTGATGTTGCTCGGAGACCGAATGACAAGGCGGATTTCATCCCGGATTAGGTGGCTCGGCCAAAATCTCATGTGTAGACCCTCACTGCAACCCACCTGTGGAGAGCCGTGTCAAGACTTTATTGGCAAACTGTGCTATGTCAAAGTTGTGACGGGCTGGTGGGGCATCTCCCCTGCCATGCGTAGACTCCAAGTTTCTACTGCATCTTTCTGCCTGGTTGACGTGGTATGCATCAACGAAATGTGCCAAGTTAATCTTAGCAGCAGCGAGTAAACGTTTTTGCCAACCATGCCCAATGTCAGTGTTGTTTGGAAAGTTCATGGCATGGTGAGTGTTGTGGAAGCAAAGATTGCCCTCAAGTTTGCAAGGCTTTGAGCTTGTATTTTGTACGGTCTTGCCAGGTGTGTGGCTTGAAGCTTGGAGAGTTTGTGCTTAACTCGGAGGCGGATGCTTGGACGTGCTTTGCCATTGAGTGTCTGCCAGACCTAGGTTCACACACTGGGCAATACCCATGTGTACCAGAACCACGTTGAGCCGTTGAAAACGTGCGCTGGCAGTTTGTCCTAGCGTAGTCAGAGCATGTGCACCGGCTGTTCAGCAGGCAGCTCGAGCGCACTCCCCGGCCTTTCCCTGTCTTGAAGATCAACTCAGAGGCCTTGCCACAAATCCGCTACGGAGAGTCATTTGTGTTCATGTCCAAGGTCAAGGACATAGATGCCTTCGCATCCTCAGACTTCCAGTTGATTGGATACAATCCGCATGGCTCAGCCCCAAGTCAGTCCATGGTGCTTGTAAAAAATAGATGAGAACCAGAGTTGGACATGGCATGCCCACCTCCTATTTCCTTGGACCGGGTGTGTGACATGATCTTATCAGCCGTGCATGAAGGCAAGATCGCCATGGAGATGGCCGTGTGAGGTGACTGATGTGAGGCTCGCCGTGTGTCCCGCATCTTTGGGGGCACTGCTTCAGTGGAGGGAGAAGCTGATGGCCAGTGCCTGTTTCACAAGTCCTGTCCCAATATCACACATGTGGTGTTGGTTCACGACATGGGATCTGACCTGCCCTAACCTGGATCTGCAGGAAACATTGCATAGGTATGGCTTGAATGCACGTATGCTGTCGCAGTGCAGAAAGTGATCCTGGATAGATGGTCAGTGCTCCGCGTATCAACTTTGACTAAAGTTGTGGTGCGTGGAAACATGCTGCGTGCCTTTTGAGTAAGCACTGCTTGCTTAGCATAGCAGCTCATGCTACGAACCGTCAGAATTGCCGCGCGTTTTTGCTTGCATCTGCAGCTTTGCAGCAATGTTTCGGGATCCGGACCTGCCATGGAGGCCGCTGACCTTTCGGAAGTCATGTATTCTATGAACACTGGCTTGCTGCAGTTTACCGTGGTGACGGCGGCCAACCTCCCGCCGAAGCCGGTGCTCGCTGTTCATGCTGGCAACATCCGTAGGCAGATCAAGCTGGAGGCAACGAGAGCTTGTTGGCTTCCTCGTTCAGGCAGCAGGGTAGATTATTGTCCCGTACTACTTTACAGATCCTCAGATGTGCTGCTCAGGCAGTCTGAGATGCTCAGAACCACATGGACTCAGCAAGAGGTATGTGCAGCAAGACATGAAACGCAAAGCTCTGCATTGCATCCCTTTGCCTTTCTGCAGGTCTGGAGTTTCCAGTGCTCTTATGAATCAGGTTTTAGGTTTGCGCTTTCTTGCGCCAGTGGCCTCCGTTTCTTTTGTGGCTGACGCCTTCTATTTCCTTGGCCACTAGGAGGATGCAACAAAAAGCATGAGGCGTTTCCACAAAGCGCTCTTGCATGCCAACGGTATGTGGCATGACAGCAGTGTAACAACGTTAGTTAGCAAACACAACGCAAATATCGTGAGCCTCAAATCATGGTGCGCAAGACAGCAAGCTTGTCTCAGCTATGCTGACCTAAGATCTAGCGCAGGCACTCTTCTGAAAAATCCACAGCCACCTCCGAACAGTGTGGATGAAGCCGGCAATCCAAAGCATACTTTCACTGCATTGCATGGAGTTTTCGAGATTCGGAATTGGGTGTGCGGAGCTGACAAGCTCTGCTGCAGAAGGTCAACCATCCCTTTGTGCTACCCGACCCTGGTTCGAAGCCAGCGCACATAGAGGTTCGACTGTTTGCAAGAGGCAGTTAGTTGGTTTCGCAGAGCATTTTAAAAGCTGCATTTGGTTGCTATGAAGGAATCACTGTTGCATTGGCTCAGACTTGAAGCATTTTGACCTGGATGAATGCCTTCACCGAAAGTTTTTGTTAGACTTCCCCACCAGTACGATCTTGCCGAATCCTGAGGCAAAGAATTGTGCTGAAGGACCAGACACTGCAACAATTGAATATTGTGCACAGTGCACAGACAAGAAAGGAAGCCCAACAGATAATCCTCCCATTCGTTACTGACTTGTCTTGCCTGGCTGCAGCTTCACAATAAGCTGGCGCCGAGATCTCAGCTGCTCCTACTTCTGCAAGCTTAGCGAGATGCTTTGCGGAAGTTATTTTGCTGTTCGTCGTGCTTGCCTTTTCTTCCAAATTTGTCTAAGGCAGTTGTGACATGCGTGCCGACAATTCCAAAACGAATCTGAAAAGTCTGCCGGAGGCAAAGGGATTTCTGCTCACTAGCTGTCACCACTAGCTGTCACCAGCTGATGTGTTGCAATGAATCTAACATGTTGCCCGTTGACGTGTGTGTCCCGCAGCAGGCAATCCTAGAAGATGGGGTAAAGGCCAGCCAGCACAGCGAACTGTCCTACGAAAGCCAAATTACATGTTCAGATGTGTGTTGTGGTGGTTTCCTGCAGGATGAGAAAGAAGTGTCCCAAATTTCTCCTGCAAGCGCAGGATTCCAAAGCACAAATATTTTGCACGCCGCTGTTGCCATGCAGCGATGCATGCTGGGTTGCTATTGCTATGGAGGACCCACGAAAACATGGTCGCAAAAGATAGATGACTTTTTTCAGGCGCTGCGTCTGCACGGACTGCATGCGATGACTCCTTAGCTCCTTGTTGCAGGTGACTGAAAAAGGGTCAACTCTGCAGACAGAGGCACGTCTGAAGCAACTGGTTGGCCTCTGAGCTCCAGTCAAATAGCTAGGTCCGAGCTGGCTTCATTAATTGGATGACAATGTGCATGAGCCCTGGTGCCATTGAAGCGAAATTGGCATGTCAGTCCACATCCAGAAACTGCAATGTCTGAAGTAACGGCTCCGACTTGAAGGCTACATTCTTGTGGTCAATCCTGTCATTCTGGGCAGTGCGGATCCTGACAGTCAGATTTCGACGGACAGGGATTGGGCTGCATGTTGCACAGCATGTTCTAGAGCGACATTGGGCACTGCGTGGGCAGGAGACCATCATGACTGCAACAGCCGTGTCATCTGCCATCGGCTCCTTTGTAGTCGCTTTGTCTAGCCAGCAGCCTAGTCTTGGTGGCAGTTGATAATTTGTCGTGGGTGGAGAGATCAAACTGACCAGAAGTGCGATTTGTCAGGTGATGCTCCTCTGGGCCTCATGCCGGGCATGGGTCTGAATGCGTGCGCTTCGCGCTTCAAGTTAGCGGCTGCTCAGCAAAGGGCTTGCAGACTGCTGCTCGGAGCCTCTTGAAGGTACTTTTCTTTTGGCATTTGTCGATCCTTCCACGTCACTTTTGGACAGGACTCCAAGAAAGTTAGATCGGGGTTAGGGAAAAATCCGGCACAGCAGGCTCTGAGCTGCTGCTTCGTCAGCGGTGCGGCGCTGCTGTTGCTCGTTGGAGTCTAGCTTCATTGCAACCTCAAACTCGACGGTGCTGGTGACATCTGAATTTGCACAGCATACATTGCTTGAGGCTCTTGGCTACTTTGGGAGTTTGTCAGTGGATCGTTACCACAGCCAGTGCCTCGTGTTTTTTTCTTTGCTCGCAGTGATGTGCTGTTGTGGCCAAGGTGCTCTCCGAGCATTTGAAAAAGGCGATCACTGTGGCCATTGGTGTTTTCCAGGCAAGCTAATTTGAGATGCAGATCGGCATATTGTGTTGTTTGCAACCCTTTTTGTGCTTAAGGCATTGATTGGTTTCCAAGTGATGGGCTTGGTTGTGGCTTCGCCGAACACGTTGGTGACGACTCTTGTCGGCATTCTTTTGTGCAAGAACATGTGGTTGCCTACATTCTGGCAAGAGATGCTACGGCAACCAAGGCTGGGTGACGTAGGGTGGCTCGGTCCTCGGCATGTGGAGTACTTGCCTTGGGTGCAGTTGTCAAATTAGAATCCAGTGAGAATACGAAGGTCCAACAAGCAGTTGTACTTGGCCCTCATGGGGCTGGGGACCTGAAAGCCAACACAAGTGCCGACGACCATGAACCTCTGCCAGGTTCTGTCTCATCTCTGCTATGCTGGTCAGCCGATTGCACGGAGCTCTTCTTGTAGGCAAGGATGCCGCTGACACAATCCGATTGGAGGCTCAAGGAAAGTATACTCATGGTTGAGCCTTGGTAGGCATATGCCTGATGTCCATCTGTGCATGGAGCACAGGGCAGCCATCTTAGCTGAATCTTCGACGGCATTCACAGTCTTTTTTGTGTTTGCCTATCCCGTTCTGAGGCTGTCCGATGCCCCCTTGGGTCTGTTCAGTCTCCCAAGGTGGCTGCCCAGGGTGTTGTTGCAAGTTCTTGCATTGGTTGTGTACTTCAATGGCAGATATGACGCTGGCTTCCTATTGGATTTCTCTTGCTGGGATCCAGGCTCACAGTTAGCTTCATGCATACCGGAAAAGCCTTGCACGCTCTCTCTGTCTCAGGGAGCGGCAAGCTGCATGCCATGATCCTGGGGAGCATGGTCCGGGCCTTTGGTGTAGGTAGTTGTTGACCTTCTCTAGCTGCTAGCTGCTGGCAAGGTGCTGCTTTTTGTGGCACTGTTTGATTTGGCCGGCGTCCAGCCAATGCCTGGGCAGTTTGTTGTCACGCACGAGCGAGACAAGTGTGAAGATGAGAAGTTTCAGGTATGGCCTGATGGGCATCGCAGGCCTACTTCAGGATGGCAACGTACCAAGGAGAGCAGCCAAGCGAAACTCGATGCATCACCCACTCAGCGTGCTTGCCAGGAGTCAGTGCATTTTCTCGAGCGCCGCCATCGCCACCATGATTGGAACCAAGATATCTCTTACCACATGCTGCTAAATTGTGCCCACTTGGTTGTGGCCCCTGCGACAATTCAGGTCAGGGGCAATTATGGGCACCAGCCCTGTTATCATTGCCAACGAGTTGCCCGGTTCAAAAGGTCCAACTGTTTGCAAAGCCATACTTACCCCAAACCTGCGTGAGTAAGCTGTGAGTCCAGTAGCTGTGCAGTTGTCTCCTCTTTCGAGATTTTCAAGCTTGCTGAGGAGCAGTGCTGGCATTGTTGAGGCAAGGGGCCACAGGGCGCAAATTGATGGGGTTTGCACGATTAGGCCACCACTGCTGACTGCAAATTATACATCTCCAAAACCAGCACTGGCATGCCAGCTAAGCCAGGGCGCGAAGACGGGACTGTCAGCCCTGGTGATCTCTGGGCTCTTTCTAGTATCTGCAGCTGGCTGAGGTCCTGGCATGGCTTGTCCTGTCATGACCAGTCCGCAACTTCCAAGGCCTTCCTGACGCCTTTGCTCAGCTCCATTCCTCGAGTCGCCACTTCTGTACCGCTGGTCAGTGACTTGAACTGGAACCCTGCCGAGTGATTTCGCTTAGAGCCGTTGTTGGCCGCAGGTGTTGATTGGAGCCTTCATGATGGCACCCTGCAGAGGCGCAATAGGGCCAGTATGATGCCAACCCAGTCGAAAGACCAGCAGCGAGGCATTGACTGGGACAATCTGCGGGCAGCCATACCCTCATTCTTGACCATCACGGTGTGGGGCCCGTGTTTGCATTGAGGTTGAGCATTTTGCAAGTCTGTTTGGGACACCTGCAGACAAGTTTTTCAGGTGGTGCCATTCACCTACTCCATCCATAATGGTATCATAGCAGGCGCGTTATGCTTCACTACACATCTTGCACAATGCTGCCTTGTGAGCTGACGTGCCATCTGAATGTGGCCGTGCCCACGAATGCCAGAACTAGGAATTCTCATGGACGCTTTCTTGATGGTGTCCGCGAAGAAGGTGGATTTCTTGGAAACTTTTGGTCAGATTTGCCTGGGAAACAAAAAGGACCAGCCTCCTGATATCATTACAGATCCACATCTGCAGCCATTGTCAGAGGCCAAGATGCTTAGTTTCAACCCAGATCAGGATGCCAATTCAAACTGAGGATACCGCAGCCGGGATCAAGAATCCAGTCACCGGTCCTTGAGAGGCACCTCGTTCGCTGTCAGCGGAGCTTTTTTAGTTTTGATGCTGCCCAGGGTCTTCAGCACTCCACATGCCAGCATGGCCTTCGCACCGGAGAAGCCTCACGCCCCTTCCTGAATGTTCAGATGCTAATGCACTCTTGTGTAGCTTCTGGTGCATGGAGCACTAGTGATTTCGCAAGCCATTCGTGTCGACGAGATGTTATGTTGCTGCAGGCGAGTGACCAGGCAAGGTGCTAGGCTTCTTTTTTTGAGGTGGTTCTCACGGAAAACGCTGGTCCAGATGTCTGAGCTGCTTGGAGGTAGAGCAAGCGCAACAGCTCTTGGAACAACTTCGACGTATGAAGACCTTAGGCTGTGAAGGGTTAGGGTTCCCTAGGATTTGAAGCGCAAATGCCTTGGTGTGAAGGCCACGAGCCAGACCAGGCCGCTGTGATTGTCAGTCCTGGTATGTCCTGGTGGAACGTGTGATGATGGCAGGGTGGCGGTGACACTGGAGAGGACAGGCTACTTTTGGCTCTGGAGGTTCGGGCCTCGCTAGCAATCTTGCACTTACAGCTGCTCGACATCAGGCATATGTGCAATCCCACACCATGGTTGCTACCGGCCTACACTTGTGAGAGCATTGTGAGAGCTCAAACAGTTCTCTGCTCGACTCACCACTCTTGTGGATGTTTGTCCAAGCCGTCAAGCTGAGACAACTTCTGCTCAATGCTGTGCAGAAACAACACACCCGAGTTTTTTCATTTTTCCAAGTTTGAAAACGGGGAATCCGGTCTCAGCTTGCCAGCGTTTATTTGTGGGTTTCACGCTCTCCACGAGACTTTGCGTGACCCTGAAAGGGATCAATGCATGCGTTTCAGGCCTTGTGAGATTGGTTTGTCCCGGAAAGTTGGTGCGACGTTGACATCAATGAACTCAATCAACACCAAGAGTTTATGACAGAGGAGGGGCAGTTCAGGTGCAACCCGGGCTGATAATTTGACGCTGACTGGCTGAGGACAGTGCGGTACTTCGTCCAGTGTGGGCTTCTTTCGACCGTGCTGTCAGTGTAACCACCTGCGCCATCCACCCCACTCCTGTGGCATCATTTGAGTGACAGTCGCAGTCACTGACAGCAGTGGTTCAGCCGCATAACCCGTTAGGGTCTCATGGGCAAAGCTCTCCGGTCTCGTGTCGCCATTTGGAGCCTGAGAACTCTGGAGTGGAGCGCCCAGATTTACAAATCTTTTGATTCGATTAGCTTACCAAGCACAAAAAGCGCTGCCAGCTGCCAGCTGATGACACGCAGGGTATTTGAAAGAAGATGACCATACTCGGAGCTTTGGCCCGCAGGTGTCTGTTTACCAGCAGCTGGCGAGCCAACTGCTGCCGGAGGACGGCAAATCCGAGGCCTCGCTGTTCTTGTGACGCAGGAAGGACAGTGGCAGAAGCTGAGCCCTCGCATGTTTGTTTGGGTCAAGAGGTGAGCGTGCTAACAGATGTCACCGTTAGAAATTCTAGGCCTAGTGGCAGGGGCCGGCCCTGAAACCTGTGTAGCCAACAGCAAGTGACAACAATAACAACACAGGCGCAGCAATAAGAACAGTAACAGGCGCGGCAACCAAAAAGGTAACGGGCGCAGTAACCAACAGGACAAGAAGTACATCATAGTAGAAGTACATCATATCAAAAGTAGGACGGGTGGGAATAATAGTGGTGAATGACAGCGGTAGAGTAGGGCCTGGAAAAGGGAAACGGACACCTGGCAATGTTGATGATGCTGATGATGCCGAATCATCAGCATCATCGGGGGGTCTATTTTCAATTTTCTGGTGGTTTGTGCCACTTCTTGGCCTGTCCTTCAGTCCAAGCTCTTCTTAGCCCAGGTCAATATGGCTCCATGAGAACCCTTATATAATAGGTCCCCCCAGGCTTCCTTTATTAATGGGGGATCCTGTAGCCAGTATACTACCCTAGAGCCTAAACACTAAACCCTTAAGCCGTACACCCTTAAGCCCTTGAACCCTTAAGCCCTGAACTCTTAACCGTAACACCCTAAAGCCTAAATCCTAAGCCCTTAAACCCTTAAACCCTAAGCCTAAACTCTTAAACTCTAAGCCCTACACCCTTGGTGTTAAGCTTGGAACCCCAGAATTCCGTCGCCATGAGCCACCCAACCCTAGAAGGGAACTGCTAAGAGCCAAACTTTTTGCCAGGGGCATTTTATTCTAGGAATTAGGATTTAGGTTGTTCTAGTTACCCCAACCTCGACAATTGGGGACCTTATTGTCGTCATATGATAGTTATAATAGGGTCCATATTATAGGCTTCGGGGTAACTAGAATCCACTTTTCATTCTGGGCTTTGCTTCTCCGAGCTGATAACGTGGGTTCCGCAGAAATGCAAGGACAGGCCAGAAAGAATTGAACTTGATGCCACCTGGGGAGTTTCAACCCTGACCCTACAATGTGACGAAACTCACATTACCTTGGGCAGGCCTTGCGGCTAGAATCCGTGCTCATGATTCTTTTTGGGGGGGTCTGGGGTCCCCCGAATCCTTCAAAATTCCCTGCGTATGCCGGGGGAAGCTTAGAAAGCACGGTCAGCAAGGTTCAGATTCACAAGCTTGAAGGTGACTTGGATGAAGGGTCTGACTTGCTGCCTCTTCGTGTTCACAGTATTAAGCTGCTCCAAGATAACAAAGAATGGGAGTTTACGAAAAAGAGACCCGGAAAAGTCTTTGCCAATCATATTGGTACTCACATTACTCACCTTGCCAAAGGTTACGGGTGGAAGGCCATCAGTGGCGATGAGTCTGAGATCATCGCTGGCTTTCTTAGAGTTGGAAAGGCTGTGCTCGACGATCTCGTTAAGAACAGTGGAACTGATGGGGTCTTCGTTGAAAGACTTTGGGATGATCCCTCTAACCGACCCCCTGTCGAGTGGCTTCGCCGCAACGCGGGGGAACCCCTGGGGGACTATCGCAACAGAGCTTTGGACGCTGCCCGTCAAGCAAAGGTTCCTTTGGTTTTCCGTAATGGGTTTCCTTGGCCTTATACCACCATCAATTGGGAATGTCCTGTGTGTAAGAAGCATTTCAAGCTTACCGGCATTGATAAGGCTCATCATGAACGTACTAAGCACTTAGCTTTACGTGGCAAGAAACTGTCTGATTTTGGCATTCACAGTGAAAAGCTCAAGCAGAATTGGAAGGAAACTGGGCGCCCCTGTCTCTTGGGGGTTAGGGCTAAAGAAAATGCTCTTGCTAGAGCCAAGCAAGTGCAGGAGATAAGCTCTCATGAGCTCGTTCATGCGCAGTCCCTTGGCATTTTTTCTGCCATTCAGAAGACGTGGTTTTGTGCTAAGTGCTGCGCTAGAGGTACCACCCGCCAAATCACCGAAATGATTTGCAATCCTGATAACTGGAGTAGGGCTAGATGCCGGTGGTGGGCTGCTTTGGCCTCCCCTCACAGGGAAGCTATAGCTAAAGCCTGCAAGATGGATAAGCGAAGAAGAGCGCAAGTTGAAAGCATCGTCAAGAAGGGCTGTGCTAAGCCCTCGACTAGCGTTACTTGCCCCAAAAAACGCCGAAAAGGCATGTTGAAGCAGTGCCAGAATTGTTCCGGCTGCGGAGGTTCCTTCGCCGCCCGCATCGAACTCCCTAAGCTTAGGATTGCCAAAAGGCCTGCTGCTACCACTAAGGCCCTTCCGAGCTCCCAGCACTTGGCCAGTAAAAGTGGTTCTGCTTCTTTTTCTGGGCAGCGGTGTTAATGCTTCCCAGGAAGGCTCTGGCGCCTGTGTTACTCGTCCCAGCAAGAAGAAGCATGACTGGATTTGGAAAAGAGATTTAACTGAGGAAGGTGTTCACCCTAATCCGGGACCCTCGCGGTCCACAAGATACCGTGCCCGCCAGACCAGGCGATGCGAAGACCTCGCGGTCCACAAGATACCGTGCCCGCCAGACCAGGCGACGCGAAGACCTTAGTTGCTGGCAACTCAACATCGCCAGTTTTAGGAAAAGGGGCTTTCAGCTTCTCCAGGAGGCGGAGAGGAACCAAGTTCAAGTGATCCTTTTGCAAGAAACTCACTGACAAAGAGGCTCTTGTGGTCGAAGGCTCTCTTCAAAATTGGGCCATGTTTCACCAAGCTGAAAGCCTTTCCCACCCTGTTAGCAGTTCTAGGGTCGAAGGTGGTGTTGCGGTCTTAGTTAGGAAAGGTATCCCTGTGGCTAAAGCTTCTTCGTGGTGTGGCAAGCCTCCCGGGCCTTCGCTTTGTTTCTGTTTATAGACGAAGCACCGAGGTTACTCAGGTCAATGAGTTCAACACGAGCCTTTGCTCTGACTGTGCTGCGATTGGCAACTCTAAGGTCGTCATTTTAGGGGATTTTAATAATGACCCGCTTATTGACAGTTTGAACGTGCTTGCTGCTTGCTTTGGGGCCACGGTTGAGTACCCCACCTTCGCAGTCAGCATCATTGGGACCAAGATGTCGATCACGATGATCCCTCTTTTCACCAGCCCGATTTTTCTCCTTTGCCCGCCCCCGCCCGGTGGGATAGCCAAGTTGTATCGATTGGGGCCTGGTGTCGGGGCTCTCTGCGTCGGTCAGTATTGATAACACCAAGTGGAGTGACCACAAGCTCCTTCAGTGGCAGGTGGTTACCAAGGAACAAACCGAGTGGCAGACTGCTGTTGAGAACGCTTGGGCTCAGGAGCACCCCAGCGATTCACCTGTTGACAGTTGGGAGCTGCTTACTACTAAGGTTGAGGCCGCAATGGCTAAGGCCCTTGAGAACCTTGGACATGCCAGACCAACACCGAAAAATTCAGGAGCAAAAGGCCTTCCGGCCAAGACTGTTCCACGTATTCTCCATCGCAGAGTTCACACGCAGGGCCCCCAGACTGTCAGGTGCTGTCGGCTTGGTAAACTCTACAGGAGAGTCGTAGCGTGGCAAACTCAAACTAACCAAGGACTCTTCCGGAGCCTCGCCAGAGAGGGTGCCTTCTTTCGTTGTCCTTTCGACCTCACTGATAGGAGCTACTTTGAATTAGGTAAGAATTGGCTCACTAGTCAAATTGAACACCTCGAGGGACAACAACGCGCCAATAACATTAGCAGGTGGAAACAAGACCTCACTCACAACGACTCTGCGGTCTGGCGTTGGCTTGCTAAAGGTAAAAAGAGTGTCGGGGTCCACGCTGTCGTAGTTGAAATGTTTTGGAAAAACATTTGGCCTCAGCATGAGGATGTTGAATCTCGCGAACGCCTCCTTGACCAGGCTTACTACGGAGCCCCTTGGAATCCGGCTCCCACGGAGTGCCCGCTTCCTAACATTACGGGGAAAGAACCTAGAGCTAGAGCTAGGAAAAACAAGCATAAGGCCAGCGGCCCTTGTGGTTGGGCTAACGACGAAGTCAGGTTTTGGCCCAAAGCTGCTCTTGATGCTTTGGCTTCACAGTTTATGCAAATTGAAAACAGTAGCATTAAC